TATATATAATTCTTTTTTATAATTTTATCTGTTAAAATTATTCCATTTTACATTAAAAAAACCGTGTAATTTAATTCTAGAAACAAAATCATTTAGGTATTCAATTTATGTAAATAATACTCCGTTGCTTGATGTCAATATGAAGACATCTTTTGATTTTTTTTTCGTTTTTTACATTTAACGTAGTTAAATTATAAATTAAATCATGATTTTTTTAAATCTTCGTTTGTCATTAAACATGCGAAACACATTGGATTTAATGAAATCAATAAAATTCTGTTTGTGAAAATTAGATTTTCACGCTAATCGACAGTTTTAATTATTTGTTGGAAATGAGTTTCTTCGTTTAAGTTTATAAGATTTTTTTAGGGTTTTTGCTAATTTTAAGGAGTCCTTTTTAGAGTTTTTTTTTTAGGGAACTTACAGAAATTTCAAACAATTTTTAAAAAATTTAGGGAGTTTCTCAAACAGTTTATCACTTATCAAGATAGTATTTTTTATATATTTTTCGAAAATTTACAAGTAGTTTTAAGAAATCTATTAGGATTTTAGGGTGTTTATAACAGTTTTCGGGTAATATATCAGGATTTAAAAGGAGATCTAATAATCTATAAAGGATTTTTAGGGAATTTATAAGGATTTTCAGGTAATCAATAAGGATTTTTAGGGTATTTATGAGGATTTTCAAGAAATTTATTAGGCTTATCAAAAAACTTTTGAGAATTTTTTTATAGTTATTTTAAGGAAATGGATAAATATTTTAGGGAATTTTGGTATCGATATTAAAAAATGTTAAAATATTATAATATATCTGTATACATTTTCTTTTAATAGATAAAATATTGGACACAATATATGAGAAATATGATCCACAAATCAAAATCTTGAATACTGGATAGAACAGTATATCTTTTAATATACGTTATACTTCAAATAACCTTATATCTAATAAAACTCCTACTATATGTGGCATTTACAATAGAGAAAAAATTAATTGCATTGAATTAAATACATGAATTTTTAAAAAATTCAATTTTTAAATTAAAATATATATATATATATAATTTGTAGTGAATGATTCAATTTTAAAAATTTATTTATAAATTTTTACACGATTCATATCTAGAATCCCATTCAAAGTTTCAGAATAATCTTCTATATATATCTAAATAAAGGATTTATAAAATTTCTCTCAGTAGGCACAATAATAATAAAGTCCAGTGCATTTTGTATAAAGAGTAAGTAAACACAATAAGAGAAAATCGAGTGCAAATGTTTAAAAGAGTGGAATCATAAGTAGCATTTTACCATTTAAAATCTTATATACTTAGTAGAGTAGTTATAGAGATATCACTTGGGATATATTGACATTTACAGTTGCAACAAATTAATGATTATAGCCTCTTGAGAAACCAATTCGCTCATTCTTGACTCTGTTAAATATTTTACGAGTTTAACAACATTTTCCTCCTTTTTTTTCTTTCCTTCCTTTTTTTCGTTATTTTCGAAACCTCGCCCTTTTAACTATCGTTGATAAGAAGAATATAATAATTTTTCTAGAAAAATATCACTTTAAATCTCATTAAAATTCATTCTTTATTAAGTTTACATCATTGGAAATTATCAGATAATATAAATTAACCGTCCATAAACAATTAACTCGGCTCATCTTAAGAGATATTTTCTAGAATAGGTTACGATTTTCTCTAATACTTGTCAACTACGATAACATTAATCATCTTTAAACATAAATGAAGCGAATTTTATGTATATAAAAATATATATATTTAAATAATCGTTTTATCTTTCTGAAAATATTTATATTAAAATAATTAAGTATAAAAAGAAAAAAGGAATGCGTTATCTACAGTTTGAAATTTTAGAAAAGATGCAAATGTATATAAACTAGTTGAGGTTATAATGTAGATAATAAGCTCTCTCGAGTTGGAATCATTAATTTAAAGTGTGTTAGAGGTAGTAGTATAGGTGTGAAAGAGATAATTAGTTAACATTAATGAGATTTGGCGATGATACCTCTTAAAATGAATGATTTAATGGATACGAGCGAACAAACTATCGCACAACAAGTTTTTAAATACAATTTATATCATTTAACTACATCCTACTAATTTATGTTAGCAATTTTCTCCATTTAAATGAAATTTTATCGTATAAAGAAGACATCAATATAAAATCCTATTCGATAGATAAATAATATCGACGACGACGATGATCAAGATGATGATCATAATGATGAGTTTTTGAAAAAGTATAATTTATAATATTATTGTTGAATATATGTAATTTCTTCAGAATTTTTTTTGGAAAATCAAATTCGTTTATTAACCAGATATTTTCTTTAAATTTGAAAAAAAAAAATTTTCGAACAGTTTGTTGTCAAAATTTGGTTTCTTTCGTCCTACATTATTGTAGAAAATAAAAATGTTTATGTCGGATTATGGCTTTTTTTTATGTAAGAAAACAAGGAATAAAATATCTTCACAGCTTACCACGTCGATGATTTGGTGGAGGGCAAGTTCAAAGGTCACACGAAGAGCCTGCGAAGAATTTTGAGAGGGTCGGACGGCCGGATCGTAATTTGACATTAAGTAACGAGTCAAACGATACTCTTGCTCGTCACTTCGAATGAAAACAACTAAAAGAAAATAGAAAAAATATAAATTGTAAAAAAAATTTCATTTCTAAAAATCTAACTTGCCATTTCTATATGAAAAAAAGTGACAAACAAAACATTTATTTTGAAAAAGAAAAGCCACTTTTAGATGAAAGGAATAGCAACAAAACNCAAAAGTAAAAATTATAAATGCAAATATTGGCTTATGAAATCAAGCAATTATTTTCTTGGTATACCACACATTATTTTCCATCTTTAACATAATGCTTCTGCTCTTCATCTTTATTAACAAAAATGTGTACTCGAAAATATTCAAATTACATAGGTAATTTGAATAATAGGATCCATCTCATTGCTTTTTTTCAAAGAGCAGCAGCAGCTTATCTCCAACAGAGATATCTTCTTTCTCAATTTATAAAAACGTTATTAAAGTTGTATCCAGTTCGGAGAAGGGAGCAAGAGGTAAAGGAAGAGAAAAAAAAAGGATGGTTTCATCTAAGAACAAAATCAATAATTGACAACAATCAGTGTAATGCACGCATCTTTCGTTTCAACAATTAATTAACTATGAGAAATATGATCCACAAATCAAAATCTTGAATACTGGATAGAACAGTATATCTTTTAATATACGTTATACTTCAAATAACCTTATATTAAAAGATATACTGGATAGAACAGTATATCTTTTAATATACGTTATACTTCAAATAACCTTATATCTAATAAAACTCCTACTATATGTGGCATTTACAATAGAGAAAAAATNCTTGTTAAAATATTTCTAACTGCATTAATAATAATAATAATAAAGATAAAAATAAAAATAAATCAAGTTTACAAAAGTAAAAATTATAAATGCAAATATTGGCTTATGAAATCAAGCAATTATTTTCTTGGTATACCACACATTATTTTCCATCTTTAACATAATGCTTCTGCTCTTCATCTTTATTAACAAAAATGTGTACTCGAAAATATTCAAATTACATAGGTAATTTGAATAATAGGATCCATCTCATTGCTTTTTTTCAAAGAGCAGCAGCAGCTTATCTCCAACAGAGATATCTTCTTTCTCAATTTATAAAAACGTTATTAAAGTTGTATCCAGTTCGGAGAAGGGAGCAAGAGGTAAAGGAAGAGGAAAAAAAAAGGAATGGTTTCATCTAAGAACAAAATCAATAATTGACAACAATCAGTGTAATGCACGCATCTTTCGTTTCAACAATTAATTAACTATGATTGATGCTGATATAATTTAAATATAATCGATTCGATTGGTACACAAAAGAGCGATTTTCATTAATCGATCCTTCTCAACTTCAACATTTAAGAAAATAAAAACAAGTGGCAGCTATATATATATATAACTCAATTAAATTGTTTTCAATAAAAGTTTATAAAATATTGTTCCTTCGTCGACTGTTAATGTAATTTAAATATTATTTATTGTTATCCTGCTTGGGATAAACACTACGTCGGCGGGGTTAAAAGCTGAATAATTCTCTTGTGATTAAAAATTAAAATTTCATTAAAGGTATCCAATGCATGACAAGCCACCATCGCCAGACAGCAGCCATAATCCCGAGTCAATATCAATGGCACTAGTGCATGAATTCTGAAAGTAAATTACTTGTAGAAACCGGAGAGTAACTTATCATATCTGGAGTAGAGTAAAACTATTTAAAAAAAAAAAAAGTAAAAAGTAATCTTTAAAACCGGATACATATATTTTAAAATATGATTTAAAATTAATTTAGCAACACTCTTATCAATCTAAATCAACGTTTTATTATCTTTACTTTTTTAACTATTTAAAAAGTAACTATTTAGTGAGTAAAGTTTGTTAATATATTTTCCAGAGCAAAATTGNTTTTTATTTTAAATCAAAATAAATTATAACTGTATTTTTTCGTATGCAGATGTATTAAAATATATTATACAGAAAATATTTTAAGATAAGAGAAATAAGTTTTTATTCCAAGCAAAAGAATCCATTAAACTAATGGAAAAAATACACAGCAAAGGAAAAAAATAAGACAAACAGAAGGTATTTGTTGGTGGTTTTAAAACAAAATTCTCTTTTCTGATCTTAAAAAAGTAAATTCGGAATTAAAACTTGTTTCGTTTTCTAACAATAAAATTAATCTTAAGTAAACACGAAATGCAGAAGTTTTCTTCTAACAAACTACAGGGAGGAAGAAAAAAAAAAAACTAAAAAGAAAATGAAAAGTTTGTATGATAAATTTGTATAAATGTTGATTTTATAAAAATTTTAAACGAGTTTATTACATATTTATAAAAAAGACACTGTTAAAAGTTGAAAATGTGCGAAACAAGAGACGAGTGACCTATGAAACGTGACTAGAAATAAGTGTAAAAAAAAAAGAAAAAGTAATTTGCTGAAACAAGAAAACAAACTTCAGTATTGTATTGTGTAAACAGTTTCCAATTTATTTCTCTCTGACTTATTTAGTAAATTGTAAACTTATTTAAAATTAAAGCAATTTAACAATGTAATAGTGACATAAATTACCTTGCATTAGACAGAGAGCCCAGTATAAGATTTGAACTTTATCGGAGGTCATTCCGTTACCATGGCTCCAAAGAGACTTTTTCCCAAGAAGGATGTCTATTTATCTTACAGGTTACTCCTATATTCGATCCAGACACTTCACCTTTGTAAATCTAATCGGTAGCAAACTGGGCGGCATGATGTTATACTGGCACAACGTCATACCAGCAGAGCTGACGTATCTCCTTCTGCATGTCTGTTGTCATCCCAATACCCGGCACCTTCATCTTATTGGAATGTCATAGAAAAACTAGAAAATTTACGACAAAATTCTGTTCTGAAAGTAAAAAAAAAAAAGAAAAGCAAGAAATTGAAAGAAAGAATGAATTTCGACAAAGTAATCTTTAAAATATTTATATCTCTCTGTAGATTAATTATCTTTAATAAAATTTCTTATAGTATAGCTACACCCCGAAAACACGTTGACAATTTTTTTTTATAATCGAAAGTAAAGGATGTAAACAGAAATAATGGCTTTAGTCTGTAACTCGTGGATAAAATTTCAATTTTGAAGTGTTTCGTTAATTCTTGGTAGCGTGAATATTTTACATTGTATATATTCCCACAGGGATATGTATACTTAAGAGATAGCGTGTATAGATTATGTAGTTTTAGCTCGAGGCTGTAAAATACCTTGAATAACGATAGGATATAGAAATTCAGTAACATTTTGTGTAGTAGAAATTATTGGCGTTAGAAAGAAAAACCTGTTGGGATATAAAAAAAATATATATATATACAGTCTGTAAATGACAAGCTGTACCGCTGAATGTGACGTATCAGATATTTTACGAAGATGATTCTGATCTCAATTTTGCTTCGGGTCACTTCTGCTTGGTCGAAATCCTAGATATTGGTTTCTGGACTTAAAGTGTAGATGACAGAATACGTAGGTCGTTCCTTTACAGAGGGATGTTTGACTTCAATACATGTCTCCTATTTGAGAAAGTTTTCTTCCACCGAAAAAAAATCGTTTCTCCAACATTTATCTTCGATTCTTCTTCCACTTTGTGACCTACATTTTTATAACCGATCGGTAAGAGAAGTGATAGGATTATAATTTAGAAAATATAGCGGAGGACTAAGTATTGATAGCCATAGATCATCACCACATTGGGTTATCCCCATGTTTCAATATCCAATAGGAAAATTGTTTGACGGAAATTATTTTTCTTCTTCTCCCCAATTTTTTTTTTTTTTTTATAAGTTTTCCTTTCTCTGATTTATAACTCTAACTATAATAAATATGATAAAACTACTTTACTATAACAAAAATCGATAATTTGTATCGATAGAGCGATTGAAAATTCCGTTTATGTTAGGGTTGAAAAGACGAATAACAGATTTTGGAATCAAAATGGAGGATGTATACATGTCAGACGTATATTGATCTTTGTAAATAAACATTTTAAATATCAAATTTTACAGTAAAAGTCATATATATTCGCATGAAATTTTCTGCCATTCTCCATCTATCTAACTCAATATCAAATGCAATAGGAAGAGGGATGTCGGAATACAGATTCCGTCTCCTGTCTAAACGTCAAGTTACATGTCACTCAGAGACGTAGAATATATAACTTTTACTTGATGGACGTACTAACTTCCATTAGATGTATTGACTCACCGGTCTCTTCTGGATAGATAGACTTTGACATCATTTTTAACTGTATTGAAAGAAACGTAAAAAATTGTACACTATACACTATCCATATATATATTTTTCTTTTAGAAACATTCACTTTATACACNAATATCATTGTAATAATCCTGCGGCAAGATACATGCAACCATTTCGTACCTGTTTAATGAGTAAATGCTGTTCAGTTAATTAGCTTTAATATTTAAATAAATGTTAATCAAAGCATGTTATATATTGTTAATGTAGCCTTTACTTTGTGCATAAAATATATACTGTGTATCGATGTTTCTGGATGCTTAAAAATATAAAAATCGAAACTTTAAACCAATAGAAAAATTCGTCTTTAAAAAACTGTTTTTCATTAAAATTCTATTGAGACCAACTTTAAAAGTATACAGTTTCTGTTTCAATTACTCAAAAATCTCATTAATTTTGATATAAAATAATCAAACGATCGCCATTTTAAAAACAAAATGGCTGAAGTTAATTGTATTTTATGAAGAGTTTATAATTAAAGCTTCACACGTTCAAATACATTTGGATATAAAATCAATACAGTTGGCATGAGTGACATTCAAAAAAAAACCTAATAAAAGTTTTCCTTTTTCAAATTATATGGCCAGAAGCAGCTTATATCATGTAATTGTTCATAAGTATCTTAATCTCCGGCACTATATGGATCACTCGAAAGTAGAGTAGGTTGTTGTTATCCTTTAATTAAGGTATCATATCAATACCAGAAAGTATTGTCAACCGTTGGATATGTACAAAGTGGACATTTTAATCTCTAATCTTTATTATTATAAGGATAACTCAGCCTAAAATCTCGATTTTATTATATTTCTTGAATCGTTTCGCATGTCTTGTAATTATGTCATGATCTTTTAAGGTATTATTCTGTGGAATTTTGGGGTGTCATTCGAGAACATAATTTGCCATTTTACTCTTTAACGTGCCAGAAATTTCGATATTAAGAGTTACCAGTTATGGTTTAAAAATGTGATAATTGGCAGCCATTAACTGCAGTCAATGTCATTTTAAGGTTATTTAGAAACTATTGTTCACTCGAATTCCGTAAGAATCAAAAGAAAATAAAAATTCTTAATTTAATTTTAAAATAAAAATTATTTTCAATTAAAAAATATTATTTATTTTATTGTTTGTAAAGATGATAAATCTTAATTTGTCAAATGCTTCTAACACATAAATGACATTTGCTCTTACTTATTGTAAGCTATTCTATATCTTTATTAGCTTTTAAGAAAATGAAAAAAAAATGGAATAACAATTTTAAATTATAAAAATTGAAAGAACTTTAACCTAAATGCGATTGTCAATAGGAGAAAAGTTAAAGTGTAAATTTATTAACTAAATATTTTCGAGCGACCAATATTGATGGCAGAAAGGGGGTGGAGAGAGAAGTAAAGAAGGATTACATGGACGACAGTCGTAAACAATCCATCGTTTGCCGGTTGCCATAGTAACCCCGGTAGGACGGAACAAATCAAAGATCCATTCTCTCTCCCTTTCTCTCTCTCTTGATGCGAAATCCCAAGGATGGATGATCTTTGCTGTAAATTGATGAGAAATGCTCGCATTCGCACAACCCGAATTAGATTTTTGAATTTTACTAGATACAAAACTGTAAAGATGAAGTAAAAAAATGTGAAGGAAGTGTTTCTTTATCGTGTAATATTTTGTCCATCGCAACTTGTCATCAAAGGATATTTAGAAAATAAATAGGTGTAGGAAATAGAAATTGTCTTGTCGGTAGCTAGAAAGGAAATGGCGATTGAATCGTTCCCAATATTGGTTCTCTTTAACGTTCACTCGCCATACTTGAATCACAAAGAAGAAAAATGATTTCTTCTTAAATAAATGCTTTCTATCAAGACACACAAAAAAAAATTAAATATTAAAAGCTTTNGAAACTTTCAAATATTTTTAAAATTAAAAATATATTTTAGTTTAATTTTTAAAATATATTTAAAAATCACAAAAAAAGAGAGATGAATTTAACGGATATTATCTTTATTACATAAATAGCTTTTTCTTAAAAGTATTTTGTACTGTTAAAGATTGTTGTAGACGGTGGTAAATAGCAACTGGAAAGGATGCCAGAACGTCAGTACTATCTCCTTTACTTTCGCAGTTTACGATGTATGTCCAGCATTTACGACAATGTTCTTCTTTCTATCCATCAGATATCTTATTTTTCTACTGGGGCAAGATAGAAAACACGGTCATAGTTTCGTTCCTATGGTATCTCTTCTACTTTATACTCTTATTAAAAAAACCTCACATAAAAAAAGATTCTATAGCGTGAATCCTAGACATTCTTACAGTATAATTCCTCAAAAATATTACAAATTGTAACTACGGATGAGGTTAAACATAGTAACATTTACTGACAGCGATAGGTAACTAAGTGCCGATCGTAAAACTATTTTTAAAAATACTATCAATACGAAATGGTTTGCTTTATCGTAATTCTAAAATAGACCGTAAAAGAAGATAATTTGGAAAAAAATATTTCTTACGTTTCGACTGTTTCCCACCGAGAAAAATCTTTCTGCCGTTGGTCGGTGTTGTGACAGTGTCATTCACATTATTGCACTAGAGACTAGAGAGAAATAATAGTTCTTCTGGAAGCACTGCATCAGCTGATAACATTATGGTTCATCTAATCTTTCCACACCAAAAGGAATTCTGAAATCAAAAGACTAGACCATGACCAAACTATAAATGGGTGGTCGAGTCGAGGCAAGATATCCACAACATCTTTACACCCTAACTAAAAGTATTATGGTGTCAAAAAATGACTTTTTTTTCCGTCCAAACCAAGTAATTATCTTTAACAAAGTAGCACAAGAAAGTAAAAAGTATCCTAAGTTATTACATTCTGCACGAAATATATATAGAGTATATATATAATGTAACGAGTTTTATAAAGTTATATAGAAAGTTATACTTTTAATTCAAAAAATAAGAAGAATTTGATTTATATTTGAGTAGAATTTTGGGGAGAAAGATACGTTTGAGTTATATAAATGACATAATTAAGTTAACACCTCCATATAAAAATATATACGATTAACAATAACGCCCATTGACCGTCATTCGAAGGTTGTGGACGTTGTTTGAAGGTTTACTTTTGTAAAAAAAAAATAATCTTGTTTAAAGGTTGTGGCCGTTAATTGGGGTATTTAGTTACATTACGCGTTAATATATTAAATAAGGTCGGTTTTAATACGATTATCTTCACGATAATTGGTCGAAAAAAAAAGAAATTTGTTTTGTAGGACGTAACAAATTTTACATTTATCCATTTTATTCGCTCAAACGATTGTTAAAGTAATTAATATAATCACATTAATATGTCTGCAACCAATCACCATTAAGAAAATCATTCAGTCGATTATTGTGTAGATAATACGTAAGCAAGCAATCGCCAGTAAAACAATTATATATCAGCTGATCATTGTCGAGCAAATCATACATTAACTAATCGTCTTTAAGATAATATTTAAATAAATGTGCCTCTAACTCTAATAACGGTCAAATCAATATACTTCAATCAACTGCCATTAAAAGTATCGTACTCTTCACCAATTATCGTAAAGGGAAATAAATCC